CTAATGTGAAGGCTCTGTATGGATCAAAGGACTCTGACAGAGAGCTCTGGTCTATGTTTTTGGATTTTAGGCAGTTCAGAGTCTTTGGGAATCGGTAAACTGGTTTTCATCTGGTTCAGCAGGCTGTGATTAGCACACTGCTACTTCACTGAAATCACTAGGACCTTTTCTTGGAATTTTTATTTGCTTTGCATCAAGCTGGTAGGACTTCTGCCTTGCTCAAATATTTCTCCTGTGGACAAAATGATATTTAAAATATGAAAGTTGTTATGTTCTCAAAAGCCAGATGATGAATACATACACAGTTTAATAACCATTCTTTTTAAACAGTAAGGACTTGTATGTGGAATGCTATTTTGTATTCTGTTTCGGTTTGCACTTGTACAAGTAACGGGCTAATGTACTGTGTTATTAGTATTCATGACATTTCCTTAATAAAACTTTTCAATGAATAACTTTATAGTCAGGCTGGTAGTTAAACTTCATAAAGTTAAGTGGGTAGGATTCCCCAACAGAAGGTTTCAGGCTGCATTTTAAGAAGCGTCTTGATTGTTCGCATTTTTAGGGTTATTTTTTTTTACATTAATTTAAAGCTAACTGCCTACACCAATTAGTTCAGGTAAGGTATTAAAGCACAGAAATTTGGCATTGTTTCCCCAGTTAAATAGACAAGACTAGCAACGAGTACTAACATGCTTTCTAAATTTGCATTTATTTTATAATTACTAGGATATAGTTAAAGCTAAGAGTGCACATATATATTTATAGTATGTATATATATATATAGTTTTACAAGTTGGGAAAAGCATGACAACACATTTGTTACATCAGTCAATACTGATTAACAAAATCTCTTTAAGAATTTATTTCTCTAAGAATTTTAACTGTCAATAATCTTACAGTTTCAGAAATGTCTGTGTAGTGAGGAATAGTAGATATTTCAGTGAAAAAGTGCTGACAGGTAAAGTTCTAATTTTTTTTGAGAATTTACTACGATGAAATTAGGCAGGTTTGAGTGGTTATCATTAAGGAAAACCCCTTTATAATTTAATATGGTTGAATGTGCTAACTTTCTCTAAACAAGAAGTAGATTCTTAAGAAATTAGTTGGAAACTGTGCATAATATAAATTTTATTTTTGGTAAAATTTCAAAATAAAATTTAACTTCTCCAGGACTTTGAACGGTAAGGGTACATTAGTGCCAGGAACTGCTGGGCTTTAAAATAAGTGTGGTACAGAAAATTACTGTAACATTGGTGGGAGTGGGGAACAGACTGCTCTGTTCCTATTTTCTGTTCGTGTCTCGTGACTTTTTGGTCTAATATAGTACTTATTTTTAAAAAGGTTTGGGAACTCTGCATGTTGCTGTTATTTGATAAGTGGCCTGACTAGTTGGACGTGGGGGAGGGATTCACATCCATGGGCTTTGTACAGATGTCAAATGTCACCTGCAATACACCAGTTTTGGGCTGACAGTAAGAAATGCCCTCTGTATCCAAAAGTGCGAAACAGAAAGCGCACTAATTTCATCGTACAGCTTTTACTGTACTTAATATACTTTTCTGGGCTTTCTCATGGTAAACACTAGGTTATTAATTGCAAGCAAGATTCTTCAAATGCTTTAGTATGACTATATCTGACTGCCAACAGAAATGAGTCGGGAAACTCGCTAAGCTTTTCTCCTAAGTTTCTGAAGTTGGGGTACAGGGGCCTGTACTGGCATGTAGGTTTCTCAGTAAAGAACATTGAGAGCTGAAAAGCAGAAAATTAGAAGGTTATCTTTTTATAGAAAGCAATGGTTCCAGTGCTGTCTCTATCCCAACTGCTCAAAGAGCGCGTCACTGTCCCAAGCGACCGCTGGAGTAGAGCAGCTTCCTCGGGATCAGTCACAGGATTCTGAAAACCTCTTGCTCCGTCTTTATTATATTTCTGTTTGGGGGAAAAAAAAATAATCTAATTAATTGAAGGCACATTCTGATCAGACTTTAAAAGCCAGTTCATTAACTTTATTTTTACAGATGCCATCCTGCAAACATTTCATAAGTGTTGATGCTACCTCAGAATGCTTAAGGCTACCTTAGCACTTGCAGAAATAAAGATTCAGAAGTAATCCTGAAGTTTTTGTTAACCTCTACCAAGGCTGAATGTACACTGTCCTTTTTTTTTCCCCCTGGTATAAGGTTTTCAAAAACAGGATCATAAAACAGTAGTCGTAATCCTCCTGACATTTAATAAATAGCTTCAGAAAATGCTTAGTACCCAGCAAATGACTTATTTAAAGTCTTCATGAAAATACAATAGCAAAAGTACTGTACTAATGCAGGGATAATCATCATGCCTACTACTAATAGGCCACTGTAAGTTTTGTGGTCGAACTGAAATGCGTGAGGTGAAACTTTTTTATTCTCTCCATCCATATTTGTGCTTTATTGTTGTAAGAAAATCAGGAAAGTAGATTGGAAAAATATCTTTCTTGCAAAGGTCACGATCAAAACTGCAAACTGTGGAAAAAATTTCAATACAATCAAGTTCTCAGATTAATTCTTTCATTTTCAGCCTTTTTTCTTTCCTAATCCCACCAGCCTTAGATCCTACAAGCTCAGACCCTCAAGTGGAAGGAGATTTACCGAGTTCAGTTCTCAAACCGAACAGACTTCAGAGCCATAGCGAGAATATTCCCCTGCCATAAAGTCTAACAACGAGTGCGTCGGTTTAAAGCTCCTGTAAAATGTGTTTTAGCTGTCTGTTGGGGGTGGTTCTGTCCTCTACCTTTTACGGGGCAATTCCTGGCTGCTTCCCCAGGGCACACAGCGGTGCTGTCTGTCCGGTAGCCGTTTCTGAGGGTGACCTGGCACGCCGTCTCTGCACCCGTCCTGTTGGCACTCGGAGTTTGCATGGAAAGCGTGTACCGCTGCTGCTTCATTACACACACCTATATGTACACAAAATCTAAAATTAGAATCGGTGGGGGTTTGTTTTTCAGGGCAGCATTTAGGTCATATTATTGATAATGACAGACAGGTGCACATTTCTGACCATATGAATTTCGTATTTATTATGCATGGGAATCTAAATCGATTAATCTAGAAGCGAAGATCCGGTCCTCTGAAATGTCACGTGTTTCATATTACACATTCCCATTATGTGAAGAAGAATTACTAGCAAGAAGAAATATTTGCAGCGGTGGGATCACAGAGTGACCGGCCTTTGTCCTGGCATGCGGATGGGGGGAATCCGAGTAATTTTCTTTCTGGTACAACACCGCCACACAGCAGCGAAGCAAAATGGGGCTGTGGTCAGATAAGGTGATAGAGTCAGTCGCAGGTGATGGAGATCAGCTCAGAAACTCTGTCCTTTTGCCTTTGCCCAGTCAGAGTCGATCCCTGAGGAGAGTCCAAGTCCGGATCCGTGCTGCTCCCTTGGGAATGTTTGCAGAGCTGGGCTCCCCACCGTCGTCCCTCACCAGGGCGCTGGCTCCACGGAGGATGCGTTTCCACCTTTCCATTTGTTTCACCCTTTTGGCTTTCGGGAGGTGGTGGTCACTCATTCCTTCAGCGTCTCCCGAAACTGGAGGAGGAGGCACGGCTTGGCCCCGTCTCCAGCGCGTCTCAGTCTGAACAGCCATGGCCAGGGCTCGTTTCTGTAGTCTGGAAATTAGACCGCGCAACACAAAAGAGCGCAGTGATTTATACATCAACGGTCGCTTTTCTTGCCATAACGTTTCATTGTTCTTTTTCCCTAAATCTGTAATTACGTGTATTTGTCCTGCTACATGTTGCTTCACAACAAATATAATTCTTACACAGGTTTTGTGAGTGAAAATAATCCGGCTCAATTGGCACAGATGATGAACTTGCCTTGTGTGGGAGCAAGCAGTTGTAAATGATGGATTTGAAATTTGGGGCGTCACATCATCCTTTTCTCTAATTTAGCAAGTTCTCCCCCAGCACTACTACATGCTGGTGGGCTCCTTTAGCCAAGCCAGAGGCTGGAGGTCACCGATGCCTACAGCTTTGTTCTTCTTGGGCCTTAATACTCTAATTTAGAGTTTCCAGGAAGGCTGCCTGTGAATAAGCCAGATTTACTATGTGTGCTGTTTAAATGCTAGCACTTGGAGAAGGGTGTTCATTAGGCGGCAATTGTTTCAGTTGGTTTTTCAGGCCGATTCTCCATTAAGGAAGATCTTTGGAAAAGGCTGGCAGGCAGGAGAAAGAGGAAAGAAAGTCAGTCTTTTAGGTCTGTGCATTCGAGGATGTTGTGTCATTGGCTGTAGTTCTAAAACACGCACTTCTTGGCCTTAATTGGAACAAATACATCTTACGGAGAAAGAAACAAACAAACCTGCTGTGGCTTTCGTCCTTGTGAGAACAAGGCTCCTCATTTTGTGGATGAATCAATACTATAAGTAATTATTTATATTTTTCTTTCCTGGAGAAGTGGTGAAGTTTGCCTATTAATTAACACGAGTAGGAAAGATACAATATTGAGTCTAACCCCAAACATTAAAGCTCACTGCCAGTTTGTGCAAGAAGTCTTCATCTATACTAAAGGGGCAGAAGCACACCCATGTTTCACTTGTAGCACAAGAAATTTAAAAAGCTAAAATAATTACGGTAATGGTGGAGTTTATGAAGGGAAGAAATCATTGTAGTGTAGCAGTTACACTGTCTCAGAGGCATGTTTTATCAGAAGCATGTGTGGTCCTTGGGTCAGGTAGATCTCTGTCCACCCCAGGTCTGTAAGCATGATCCTGGTGAGTGACTGATGTTCCTTTGTGTTGTACTAGTAATATCAATCAGCATCTTAATATGTTGTGAACTCTTAAAGTCTAAGTTGTTTCCTTTCCCACATGGCTGCTCAGGGGGTTTGAAAGATTATTCTTGTCGTTCTCCCATGTCCAAAATTAGCAAAATACGTGCAAGAATAAGAGAAATGTTACCAAAGCAGAAAAACAGGATTGTAGCCCACCAGAGGTTGTACTAGCTGCTGTAAATGGCCAAATGTGGAAGAAACGGCAGTGCCTGCCAGAGATGTAAAACCTACCTGAGTTCCCCAAACCAGGGTAAGGACCATAAGACTCAATCCATCTGTAATTTCGAAGATCTAAATAAACATTTTGTTCATACTAAATTGAGTCAGGCCCAAAGTATTAAGATCTGGTTTGCTCAGTGTGTCATTTTGGTTTTGTAAACTATGTGTTTGTTCCTTTTTGTCCACTGCAATTGCTACTTTTCTGGATGGGAGTTTATCAAGTGTCTCACATTTTCCTTTTTTTTTTTTTTTCCTCTCCCTCTCTCTTTTTTCTCCTGTTTTCCTGGTTTAGATTCCTTCCTGGACAAGGATTGGTACTATATCCACAAATAGGAGACAAACTGGATATTATATGCCCAAAAGTGGACTCTAAAACTGTTGGCCAGTATGAATATTATAAGGTCTACATGGTTGATAAAGACCAAGCAGATAGCTGTGCTATTAAAAAGGACAATACACCTCTACTCAACTGTGCCAAGCCAGATCAAGATGTTAAGTTTACCATCAAGTTTCAAGAGTTCAGTCCTAATCTCTGGGGCCTGGAATTTCAGAAGAACAAAGATTATTACGTCATATGTAAGTTCAAATTTTCAGTTGTTCATTCCTTTAAATGTAATTGTTTGTTCATATGTTGCCTTGTACATTATAAGCAAACAAAGAATATGAATGGGTTTGTATTTTTTTCTCTGGAAATATTTTCTTGCCAGCGTATTTTTGACATTGTTGCTGACTTCCATGGGGGCTCTGTCTCCTTGGTCCTTGGTTTGTGTAAATCCAATTAGATTGCATTTTATGCCCGTAAAGGGCTTCTCCTTTTGCGCACAATATTGTCTCCTGTATTCACACCGAAAGTTGCATGCAGCTAAACCACGATGTCTCCTGCTCGCAGCCCTGGCAGTGTGCCGTGCGACTGGCCTTGCCCTCGGGTGGTCGTACACCAGGAGGAGCGGTGGGGTGGCCCGCCGTTCCGAGCTGAGGCGTTCTGCCGGAGGTGGCTGGCCGTTGCTCCAAGTGGTCCAGGGATTCTCGCAGGAAACACCTTTTCGGTGCCAACTTTGACAGTACAATTTCCCCACGAGGATTACTGGTGGGCTCTAGTTGAGCATGCCTAGCCGCAATACATATCTACTGCATCCAGACAGTAGCTAGGAGCGTTCTTGGGCAAAACCTAGGCTGGGATGATCTTGAATTTCCTCCTTTTTCATGGTCCTGGACTTGTAAAAAGAATGCGGGTGATACAGGCCCGTGTCCAACAATATAAACGTTGTGCGAGTTTTAGTCTGATCAGGGGTTTATGGCTGAAAGTGAGCCTGGAGGTAACCGCTGTGTTTAGTGATTCAAATTAGTTATGATGTGTAAAGTTAATGATGTGAATCAGGAGTTAGCATAAGCTGAGACCTCAGCAGTGCAACAGCAATTTACATTCGTTTAGGTTTTGTCATTGTAATACTATGGTCTGTGGATCTCGTTTGGCCCCATGGGGACTTTTGAAGTCTTGAGCAAGGATCACCAGTTAGTAGGAGACGGACAAATTCCGTGCATTGGCTTTTCTGCAGTTATGAGGAAGTTAGGTACTGGCGTGTCTTATTTCATAGAATCATAGAATGGTTTGGGTTGGAAAGGACCTTTAAAGATCATTTAGTCCAACCCACCCTGCCATGGGCAGGGATGTCTCCAACTCGATCAGGTTGCTCAGAGCCCCGTCCAACCTGACCTGGAATGTTCGGGGATGGGGCATTGACCACCTCTCTGGGCAACCTGTGCCGGTGTTTCACCACTCTGATCTTAAAAAATGTCTTCCTAATGCCTAGTCTAAATCTACCCTCTTTTAGTTTAAACCCATTACCTCTTGTCCTATTGCAACAGGCCCTGCTAAAAAGTTTGTCCCCAAACACATTTCTGCCACCTGCTTGAAAACTGGAGGGCTGATAACTATTTCATGTAAAGTCTGCCACTCTAAATATTTCTTAATTTCGTAATTAAAATTATTGGTAATTTTACAAGTGCTCTGAGCAAGTACTTTTAAAATGGAAATGGCATTTAATACAAATTAATGCTCCCTTCCCAGTTACATCCATAATGGTACACACTGTATAAAACAGGTTGTATGTCACAGAAACTAAGAATTCACTGTATTAAATATTAAATGTAGAAATTACTAAATAACAGTTGTGGGAGATATAAAATACCATTCTTTGGATTTTCAGGTTTGACAAAAAGATCAGTTAATATAGGCTCTTTCTCTGTTTAGTCGGGGGTATATAAAAACCTGATCCCACTTACACAGCATTTAACTTTGACAAACTTCCCACTGAATTCCAGTGAGATTTACTGGGGTAAAAGCTGCAAGTTTAGATGCTGAGAGACAGTTGTCTGTAACTCCAGTGAAAATGTGTAGCGTAAAATGACCACACTGAAATAGCTGGCTTTAATGATGAAATATGTTCAGTCTTTAATGCTGCTTTTAAAAACATCCACAGCAGACCAGCTGTAGTGGAACAAATGGCACTGTTACAATTATTACCTGAAAATTATGGGCACAAATGGAGCTTTCTGATACCCAGGCAGTTCTGTCATATCTATGTCATGGATTTACCCAGAGAATTATTGAATATGTCTCATTTTCATTAGTTTTGTATAATTGTTTCATTATAGCAATAAGACATAATAGACGTTGCATTTCCTGGAAGATTACAGTATAGTTTGGTTGAAAGAACTTGCTCAGCCTTCAGCCTAATGCCTCAAAAATCACACTGGCCTTGCAGTAATACTGGAGTGCCTTAGGATATTGCTTTCCCTGCTCATTCTGGCATAAACAAATGGCTAATTTATCACTATATTGCTAGCATACTAACTGAGCTGCAGCAGGGGTACCCGTACATTTTAATAGGTTGGACAAAAAAAACCCTCAACCCTGAAAACCCAGCCATCCTGAAGCTAAAATTCTTGCTTTTCTATCATTCAGGGAGAAAACAATGAACTCAGTGATGTCGGTCTCAGAAACACTAAGAGGGGTAGAAAACTAGGCCAGGGCTCAGCTAGGACACCATTTTACAGCGATACCGGAGCTAGATAGGATTTTAACAGCTTGTGTTCAAAAGCTCATGACCCGACACAGCCTTGTCAGATGCAAGTTCTGGTAGTCAGGGCATTTACTGTCATTTTTATAAGTAATATAATACATCTTAATCATGTACGCAAATCAGGCCGCGAATTGTTTGCATACATCCCTATTCCCAGACCTGTAATTTAACAGGTGTGCTCGGGCCCCAAAGGGGAGTGCACTGGGTCTCCCACCGACTCCAATACTGCTCTTTCTTTCTTCCTTTCTTTCTCTTTCTTCCTTTCTTTCTCTTTCTTCCTTTCTTTTCTGTTTGTTCAGGAGTTTTGAGTTTTGTTTTAATTTATTAAGGGCCTTTTTTGCGGGTCGGGAGTGCTGTGAAGTGAAAGCAATGACGCATTTTGTGTGCCAGCTTTTGATTTTGAAGTATTTTAGGATCTTGTATTCCCTCGACTAAGGGGCATCAAACAAACCTGACACAAGAGTTTACTGAGCCCAGCATCTTTGCAGTGCTTGCTATGGCTGCGTCTGCAGCCTAATCTCACGCTGTTTATGCTGGCAAGCTGTTGTCAGCCCTTTAAGTGTTTAGTGCATTGTCATGTACCTTTATCAACTTGCCATTATTTGAAAACACAGTTTGTTTTCCTGAGGTAATAGTGTGTGGTTTGTGGAGCTGTATTAAACAGTAAAATCTCTATTCAGATTAGGGGGTTAGTCATTTGGGGATGAGGAGTTGTAACACAGGGTGAAGCAGCTTCCTGAACCCTGTGTACTTTTAGGGAAATGTGATTGTACTGGAATTCTTCAAGCCATAATTTTTATATCATCCAGATGTATTTGTGATAGGTGTAGCAGAAAGAGATCTTTTCTACTCAATACTCCCTTGGTCTAAGCATATAAAAGATGCAACTTTTCTCATTCCACAATTCACTTTTTTTTTAAAGTAAAAATGTAGGTGGGTTTCTGATACATTTAATGGTTCTTTAATCCAAAAATAATCTAATCCACTTCTTGGCAAGATATTCCTCAATATGAGTGTCAGGGTCCAAAGAGTTAATTCTGTGAACAGCAGTACTTGGTAAAATGATACTGATGGTATTGTGAAAGTGAATAAATGATGTAACAGAGTGTCCTTGCTTTTCTTTTCTTTGCCATCATCAATTTTTGGTTACTGGGAAATTAATAGATTCATTTTCCTACAGTTACCTGATTTCTTTTCAGCAGAACTGGAGAAGGTCAAATGTACTCGAGATCTCAGAAGTATTAATGTTAGATTATCCTAAAATATGCGACCATTTAGCTAACATATCGTGAGTCTCTAAGGAAATCCTTAATCAGATGCATGAAGGAAGATACATCATGCCCAACAACATAAATATCTTCGCAAAGGGCAAAGTTAAGCAGAGGAAGGGTGTGCAGATTTGCGACTCTGATGTTTGCATTAAAAAGTCTTTGTGTGTCTTTGCATGGTGAGGGAATGAAGTATAATTTTCTGCTGTTGTGGATGGCTCAGAAGGAGCAACGAGTGTCTTCTCGGTACTAGGGGAGTGATCTGCACGTACTTGGGTGGTGGCGTAAGCGCGTGCTTCAGCACCTCTCTCAGACGCAGCGTTTCTCGTACGGCAGGGAGACGTGTTAGCATCGCGCAAGCATATACGGTACGCCAGAGATGTTTACTTTGGGCGAACAGGAGTTGCCCTGAGCCCTTCCCGACAAATTTTGGCCCTGGGTCAGAGGGCACGGAGAGCGCGGCGGTCCCCTGGGCGCGCGAAGCCTGCCAGGAGCTGCGCCGGAGGGAAGGCGGCAGTGCCGCTCGCCTCCCGGCCGCCCTCGCGCTCCGGAGAGCGCGTGGCCCAGCGAGCACCTCCCCTGCTCTCTTCGGCTCTTCCTTTGCGTAAGTAAAGCGAAGATTACGGGCTGGCATCATCAGCGTTAAAAGATAAGTCGCCTGCGATGAAGTCTTCGCCTGTTCAAAATTTGCGAAGGAATGGCTTGAGACTCGGGGAGAGGCTACAGCGTGGTCCGAGGAAAGGTTCCTCGCAAACGCTTGCTCTGCCTGCGACCTCGTTAGCCAAGCTTGCCAAGCTAACGATGCTCGTTGGCTTTGACATTGGCAAAACGGAGTGCGCAGCTTCCCTTACATGTTTTTTGTCAACTTTTTTCAAGTGACCCACTTACATAATTGGCCTCTGGCTTAAGTTAAAAAACATACATATATATATATATTTGATCCCTGACTGATTTAAAGGTTTATACTGGCTAGTAGCGCTACGTTTTGGATAACTGCTTTAATGGTACTGTGGCTTTTAAAATTGAAACAGTCATTCTGAAACTTAAGCATTAGCTGGGTTTGAAAAAAATCACAAGGCTTTTTATGTTTTCACTTTGTCATTCTGTTACAATTAAAGGGCAATAACTGTCTGAGGAAGAACACATTAAAGGACAGTATAGATTGTGCCCTGAAATACGGCCCAGCTGGGAAGAATAAATCTCTTTGCGTGGCCAAATAGATTTA